TTCGAAATGAAGGTCCCCCTAACAATGTTATCTCAGGAGATTCATCGAAACCAAGTTTGTCTTCGTATCTTCAAAAAGATATTGTTCAGAAAGAAGTCTCAATTTTCAGTTCCACCACAATGACAGGCTAAAGATAGGAATAATGAGGAGAATGATCATCCGAAACCTACGCCTAACGGATGTAGAATTCTGGGAGGAGAAGTTGGACAAATTGACTAGAATATTCCTCAGCAATGGCTACGCAAACGATGATACTAAGAAACATACGGATCGTGAAGAGCCGATGGTAGAACGGGGACTATGAAAGAACAATAAGGACGATTAAACTTTCACAAAAGTTGATATGCCTACGTTCCTGCTAACAAACTCAAAAGCTACAGCCAATATTGAAGGTGGCCATGACTTGACAATAAGGACAACCTATTTTACATTCAACGGGAACATTTATGAACAAATATTTGGACTTCACATGGGATCACCGCTCTCACCACTTTTGGCAAACGTATACATGAACAGACAGTGCTCATGCGGTACCGGGATGATTACTTCGCACTTTAATCACATGAAAGAGAAAAACTGGAAGAGTTTTTGAAGTTTGTAAACCAGAATATATGAAGACCAAGATGTTGTGGCCTCTGTTATGGTCGTAGTCTCCTTTCGATTTATAGAAGTGGGTTGACTTTGTTGTCGCAACTTGGTCTTGTTGTCAGGGCGACTATGTAGAACGCACCTAGTCCGAAGTCGTCTGCCATACAGTTGTCATGATTCCCAGCATCAGACAGTGGACTTGGTACATTCTCAAACGTTTTGCCAGCATCATAGTCGATTGTCATGATTCCCAGCATCAGACAGTGGACTTGGTACATTCTCAAACGTTTCGCCGGCATCGCAATCGGCGTCATCAGCGAGTGCTGTCATTCTCCGCACCAAACTATGAACTCGTCAACGAGACAAGTAAAGCCAATCCCTCGACAAACGTTCTGCTATGGCAGATGACTTTGGATTCGGTGCGTTCTATATAGTCTCCCTGACCACAAGACCAAGTTGCGACAACGAGGTCAACCCACTTCTTTGTAAACCAGATTGATGGAAAAATTCAATTCACGATGGGACACTCAAAAAGAAATTGTACAGAAAGAAGTCCTAGGCTGGGATAATACTCAATTTCCGGTCCCATCACAATTACAGGCTGAAGATTGGAATAATGAGAAGCATGA